TTGGGAGGAAGTGATTGTTCTCGAATTGCAAGGGCTTTTTCATGAGTCAAAAGTGCTTCTTCATATTTTCTTTGAGCATCTTTGATCAAACCAAGTTGATAATAAATATATGCCTCATCTTTTTTATCGTTGGGTTGATCAAGTATATGTTGATAAATATCTTCAGCTTTTTTAAATTGACCCATATCGTATAGTACTGATCCCAATCGATACCATCCTTCAGTATTTGGAAAGCTCTCTTTTCGGATGTAGTCAGTAAGTCTGCTTAGTTCTGGATCATTGTCACTAGTAAGTGTCAAGTCAACTGCATACAAACGATTATTTCCACCGATCTGTGTAATATCCTGGATGCGAAACACGCTATGCATAGAAAATAAGACTTCGTCTTCTCCTTGGAATTTGCTGATATCAGCAATCGAGGCAAATGGTGATGTTGATTGAGATGGATCTACTATCATGACGAAAAGTATTCCAAATAAATCCAGATTGTCCTGATTGCTTTCAGCCAAAGCATAGGGAAGTTTATAATCTTTACTGGTAGATAAGAAATTATTGAATGAAATAAGACCACCTTTAGCGTTCATCATTCGTTCAAAATCCTCTCGAGACAAACCTTGTCCACGGTAAACGGTGAAGGAGTCAGCAGCAGTTTTACCAGCATATTGTTTCTGGTGTAGTCGTTCAATCTGTCGATGCAAGTCACCAATGAAGAAGCCCATCCGTGTAATGATATCACCATTCATAAATCGTAATGCACTATTCAGCATGGGATACAAGAACATGTCACAGGTGTACCAATAAATTGGTTTTTTTTCGTGATATTCACGTTCCAATTTTTTAATCTTTTCGACTTCTTTTATATTACCTTTAGAAGGATCGCGACAATACTCGATATAATCCTGGATGTGTGTTTGATCGAACTTGATAGTTAATAATATCTCCTTGATGATTTGAGTGTACATAAAAGAAGGATCTAATTGATCCAACTTTTTATTTGATTCAACGAAACTCATGGAAATGGCATTTTGCTCACATTGATGAGCAGTTTTCTTGAGTGCTTGACACATGGGTGTAATATCTGTGAAGATACCTTTTATTTTGGGCCAATTTTTAGCCCATTGTTCATGATAGTTTTGGTTTTCACAAAAAATAAAAATTGAATCAATTTGAGATATATTGTGTGCACGAGGTACAATATGTTGTCCAAGTGATCCAGATAGAATCATACATGCCTTTTTGTTAATGATGGTTCGAATGAATTCGAAACATTTATCACTATCTGTAAATGGATTGATGTCGTTGATAGCCTGTTGCAGTTGTTTGATTGTATTTTTGCAAGCATCATTTGTCTCGTCTATATTACTGTCTAACCAGATAAGAAGAACATTTTCCATACGTCGATGGTCTTTTGCATCTTCTGGAAATGGATATTTATTTACTCCGTCATCAGATTCATTAGTTGCTGTTGATTTTCTACTGTTCATTATTGACTGTGTGAATACTTGGGATTCAAAGTATTGTGTAAAATTTACTATTGATGTTATAATCAAAACTGGCTCGTTTTATAAATATTTGCTTCTTTTCGAAATGATTTTTTTTCACCTCTTGATTATTTGGTTATTAAAAACAATTAATGAAGAACGAGAAAAACAAACTTTTGAAATATTATCACGGTTGACTAACTACAGCAGTAGCTCACGAAAAGTAAATGTTTGATTTGCTTTAACCGAAAAAAAACGTGTTGAGTCATGTTTGTTATTTGATAATCGCAACTGAAAACTAGCATTAATATTGGTAAATGTTTAAACTAGCTTTTATCTTTCTTCTTATTATATTCTTTCAACTGAAAGTTTGTAAATGACCATTAAGTAGATAACTAAAATGAATTTGTAAAAATGTGCATTCATCATCAACAAACCACAAAAAAAGACTTAATCATGCATCATTTTCCATCTTACATTAATTATTAATTTGGAATAAATATAAATCAGGGTTCTTATAATACTTCTTAATCTGTATAGAAATGTATGGATACACCACTACTTTTGAAATAAAATAACAAATATAAATAAATTAGAAACTATTAATCAGTGAAATCTTTTCAATATAACTCTGTTTATGGTTCATTAATAAAAAAGCGAACTTTTCTACATATATATTCATGCAGAATAAAAAAGAACAATGTACAAACAGCTATACAGGTTTAATGATAAAATAAATTACAATATAGAATAATTTTTTTTCTAAGTATACTCATATAGTTAGAATCATCGTACTTTTAGTGATGAATCGCGATTTCAGCAAAAGAAGTCTGGATTATTGATGATTTTTCAAATATTGAGAAAAACCGTCGATGAATCGTGATTTATCAGTCACTATTATTTCTAAATAATTGCTCTTTTTTTAAATATTTAGATTCGCCAATTACCAGCATAGACAGGGAGTATCATTTTTTGAAGAATTATTTTTTTCTACTTACTTTAGTTCAATAAAAATATGTATGAACGGGCTGTGAAATCTATCAGGTGGCTAAACTCAGAAGATCGAAAGAAGGTCTATGTTGGAAGGAGTGAATGAATATTGATTGAGAAATCACCATCTATGCATATTGCATAAGAAGATGATGAAACGAGGTCATGGGATGAGTCACTCTGTGACAATATGATCATTGATACGTAGATCTTGTATTATGAACTTTATTTTCGAACTGATTAGCGTTTTTATGTTTTGTTTTGCTCGTTTATCATGCATATTAAATCATTAGATGTATTTCACTTTTTGTAGCGACTATCTTTTGTGTTTGTTGCTTACGATGAGTGCACAGCCACGTATTTCTGTACGATGTATACCCTATCGTACTTTAGTTACATACATGCCGTACTTTTACGTTTCTTTCTTCCACGCGTTCTCCCATCAATAAAAAGGTAAACGAAATGGTTCTCTTTTTATTCAACTATTCTTATGTCTACAAGCAAGGAGCACATGTTTGTGATTCTAGCAAGCAGAGGTATTAAAAATGGTGTTGTTTTTCTCCTCATTGGAAAAGTAGTCGTCACAGTAGCTTCCATATGAAATGAACAGAAAAACAAAGATCGATTTAAAGATAAGTGGAATACCACTCATCGTCCAACTGTCGTCCTCATCGAATAATCTGTTGACATATACACAAAAGAAAAGCAACGACATATTTGCCTCATCCTTCTCGTTGCTTATAATTACCAACTAACCGACATCGATAATTCAAATCAAGAAAGTAATGAACGGACATTAGTAAATTTAACTTTTTCTTAACGCATTTTTAGAGATTCAAGGAACATATTGTGGTAAGTAACATGTTTTAACGTATCCAACAGAAGAATTAAACAAACGAATACATTCATTTTAACTAGTTAAGACAGATAAATCAAAATATAGATAATCGCTCGTATTAACTGATCTGTATGGTATTCTTTTATACTTTAAGTAAAACTAACAATTATAGAAGGTCGTAATGTAAGTTTTTGAAATATGAATTTGTGAGATAGTACCGCCCATAATAAATATGTTCCTGCCGTTGCTAACAAATCTCACAAATAAGCGAATCTTGTCAGAACCGGTTCGTACGCCTTGACTTGGTATTTCTGACCAACCGCTACATATGCTAGTTTGATTGTAATCTGTAAGCAATTTAGTAATGAAAAAACTTAACATAAAGGTTAGTTTCTAAATTCAATAGTTCTACAAGTGACATATAATTAAACTCGACATCTTTTTCTCGATGACTTTTTACTACAAAATATTGTACCAGATCTCGTTAGTTAACAACCATTGTGATAATTAGTACAAGTATTTTTTTGTTATTCTATAATAAATCTAACAAATCCAAAGCAGCTCAACTTTTGGTATACAGTATCGTCTGTTCATCCGAAAAAACAACCGAAATAGAAAAGTTCGCATGTTTTGAAACATGATCTGTTTTACTAAAAAAATTGGTTCCCTTGAAAGTTTTCGACTTTGTCCAATCAATACGCTTTTTCGAAAGCTTAAATCCAATTTTTCTTAATCAGCTGTTCGTGTTTTATCGAAGTATATATGAAAAACACAAAAAAATGTGTATTTAAATTTCGAATTGCGTGTGTCGTAAATCATCGTTATTTTAATTTTACAACTTGGAAAAAAACTATCTAAAATCTTAACCTACCTATACGAAAACTGGAGCTGTTTTAGATTTGTTAGGCCGGAGAAAAAGTGATTTTTTCAAGAGGATCCAAGACGTATGGATCTCCCTTTAATATTTTGTTATTTTGAAACGTTCAAAGAAATTTTTGCTTCTTCATTTTCAGAACAGCAAAGTTAAAGTCCTCTAGCTCTTTCTATTTAATTGTTTTCCTTTTTAGATTTAATTTGTTAAATTTGCTTTAATAATAAGATATCGTATCAGAACCGTTTTTTTGTCGAAATACACAAACAATAAGAAGAATGTCATCATCCAGTACTACTGATTCTGGAAAGTAAGTAAAGTGGAAACTGTTTTTATGATCAAAAATATCCACTAGAATGTCAAGTATAGTATTTTCTTATTACTCTTTGCTGCTTTCCTTCACACATGATTACTTTATTTAAATCATTACATTATTTTTTCTCATTTCTTATTCTTAGAATGAAAACAGATCAGAAGAACACATCATCCACCATCAAAGTAATCGGTGCTGGCTTTGGTCGTACCGGCACTACCTCTCTGAAAGTGGCCTTGAATATGCTCGGCTTCAAATGTTATCACATGCAGGAAACTGGCAAACATCCAACGCATAACGAACTTTGGATTGATGCATATGAGGGAAAACTCACAGATTATGATCTGATCTTCAAAGATGGAAAAAAATTGAAGAACGATCCGTACATTGCGACTTGTGATTGGCCATCGACCGCTATCTGGGAGCAACTTATAGAAAAATATCCAGATGCAAAAGTGATTCTAACTGTGAGAGATGCTGAGGGTTGGTACAAAAGGTATTAACTTCTATTCTCTCCTTCGAATATCACAAAATATTCTTATAATATTTTCTTCTAGCATGCGAAACACTGTTTATCGTGTCCCAACTGAATTCTCCAATAGTTATTTTCTTCCGGGAGCATTCCGTAGAATGATTAATATGCACACGAAGTTAGTTTGGGCTGGTACATTTCAAAATCGTTTTGAAGACAAAGACTATGCAATTAATGTATACAATCAACACAATGAACGAGTCAAGAAACTGGTACCAAAAGAAAAATTATTCGTATTAGATGTTACAAAGGGTGAAGGAAGATGGAAAGAGTTGTGTGAGTTTCTCGAGGTAGAGGAACCTTCAGAGAACATACCTTTTCCTCGTGTAAATGATACAAAGGAAATGGAAGAAAAACTTAAGAAGCTTAATAGAATTCGATGGACAATGATGCTCACTGGTCCTTCGGTTTTAGTTGCAGTCGTAGCTTGCTTGATGTATTTTTTTCTTCGTAAATAAAAGAAGAATGTTTTGTGTAACACTAAAATTCAATATAATGTAATCCAGGGTGTGGATATTCTCTTTTGATCAGCAAAGGACACACACATATTCACACTAACACCTTCAAAGATTCGTTCATTACTTTTGCACGTTGTTTATAGTTTGAAAGGTATTTGAAAAAGTAGTCAATTATATGGGTTGTGTAAACTTCGAAATGTCTTGAATTTTATAAGATTTTTATGATCGTAAAAAAACAGAAATGGTTAGGTAAGAATTGCGGTTTTTGATTTTGAGTTGTAAACGCTAGTCAAGAGTAAGTAAGAATAGATTTTGAGGTAGGTAGTGTTAAAATGATCTAAGCTAAGAAATATACAAAACTGTAGTATTTGCACGTCTCATTTTGTTGACTGTGTTCCGCTGACAATTGGGGTTCCTGACTGTCAGCTAAAAAATCGCATCAAATATTGACCTCAAGATTAACAGTAGACCGTTTTCTTGCGGTATAATACCATTATCAAATATTATTTTAAGGACACGATTCTTTTATTTTTATGAAAAATGCATATTTTTATAAAATTTTTTTCTAAATCCTCTTAACTTATACGATTTATATTATAACTAGAAAATAGTTCTACTGCTTTATTGCTTGCGAATGAACATATATTGAGGAGGGTGTGGGTGAGTGTTAACTAAGTATAATGTTTACATCCACATTCATACCCACACCCTCTCTTTCTATTTCTGTTAATCATCTATTTCTATGTTTTTTCAACTGACGCTATAATAGTACAGAAAAATTCCAGCATTCATCGGATCTATTCATTTTTGTCTTTCTTAACTTCTCTTAAACATGCTCCATCTGCAAAAAA